TAAAAAAAAACTGTAATGTAAACAATCATCTTTTTCTTAAGAGGATGTTTATACAGTCAGGTCCACGTAGCAGAGAGCTGCAAAGTTTAATCACCCCAAGCTTTAAGGATTTCTTAAAGTCTGAAGTCTCATTCACCTAGTTATTGCAAATCATTCAGTTTAATATTTCACTGTATTCCCTAATCGGAGAGGACTGTGCAACACTGCACCAAACTCATCCCAGAATAAAATGCTAATTCTAGAGAAGACATTAATCTCTCACATGTGGAGAACTCATTAAAGGTTCTATTACACCTAGTCATGAGTTGGCATAATTGTAGATACTTATTCTGGTTTCAAACATATGAAATGACAAGTAGCCAAGGCCTCCATGGGGAGACTGCAGATAAAGCAAAAGAACGCTCTCACCCTTCAAACATGACCTGAAAATGGAAGGGTCATAAATGAAACTTCACAGCTATAGCTGGACACTTCCTTGCAGACCTACAACTGCAGTCTCAATATACACAGGCCATGAATAGTCAGGCCAGCTGCTTTCACCTCAGATGAGCAACCCAATGTATGTTAGTGGAGCGAAAAATAAGTTGAGGCATGCAAAGCTTCCGTGCCACCGTGTCAAGTGGGAATGCAGCATCATGACACATGGAAACGTCTTGTTACCTGTCAACACAAGATTTCGTCCCAAAGGAACCCCTACAATGAAAAGGGGCGGGGAGCACAGACAGAAGGTCTCAGCGACATATGTGAAAATTATAACCAATGTCCTTCTCTGTAATGTTATGGGGAAGCATATACGTAATTGACAGCACAGTAGAAATGCTGAGCTGCAACGCATGCCCAACAAAAGACTTTCTTGTAACTAGGGGATCTTTCCCGTCACATCTTCAGCTTCCAATACTTGAATGCACCTGATTCCTAAACAGCAGACATCTGCCAATTTCACTCACTTACTTACTATTATACATACCAATGTATACTAAACGGTTCCAGTTTCTAAATAACAGCTTCTGATTTAATTGGCCCAATTAAACAAACAGGGAAGGAAGGATTAAAAACCAAACAGTGTTTAATCTCATATAGAAGAAAGGAGAAGGAATTTCCTTGAGTTTTATCTTGCCTTCAGATCCAGCTACAGTATGTGGAATAGCCATTAAAAGAAACCACTTTGAGAACAATTGTCAGTCTGGTACAGAAGTCACACAAGACTTTAGTACCACAGTTAAGGACTTAAAGGGTGTAGGTTCACTTGATTAGCCAATCATTAATGCTGCACTTTTATCATATACCACATGGTAGCAAAATATTACCACACCCATAACAGTACTACAATGGTCCGATTACATTTGGCTTGCTATGAACTCCATTTAGTTAATAAACATTCCAACACATTTTCTTTTTTTGAGTACAAGATTAAACATCAATACATTATAAGGACAAAACTGCCTTCCCTCTAGGCTCACACGCTGCATATCTTTCCTCTTCTCCTTATGGCAGTTCTTAGGAAAATAAAAACTTCTTTTATTTTAGATTACCTACAGTTTAAGATGTTCCAAATCCTAAATGGCACTTAATCTTGACTATGATTAGGAGGAACAATCCAGCTTCGTAAAATGCGGTTCCAAGTACTCTGGTTTCTATTGCTACTGTGCAGGAATCCTGTAAATTAGCCAGAGTTCGATCAAGTCTGTATAACTCACTAAATGGTGATAAGCTAACGTGAAAGTGAAAGCTTCCAAACTCCTCCTCCGATCACAGCTCAGTGGACAGGGTAGGTGTACAACAAGCAAGGAGTGTTGATACTGTAACATTAAATTATGATTTAGCATTGTGGCCTAACCAGCTTATATTTTCAAGCATTACGAATAATGGATCAGTGAAAATACAGTAGAGAATTGAGTAGCAAAACTCTTCTGCATATCTTCCAAATGACTTCAGGCTGATCCATGCTCTGTGAATTATTTTCAAGACCACAAAAATGGTAAAAACCAATGATATTCACTCGAAGTGCCAAAACTGAATACTCACTGGCAAGTCAGCTGTTCTTGTTCATAAAAATGAGAAAAGACTAGAATGCCATGAGACACCAATTTATATAGACACACGAGAAGTGAAAACATCAGTCAAAATGGACAAGGCACAGAGCTGTGGTGGAGGAATGGAAAACAGAACTTCCACCCTAGACTGTGATCTAGAGATGGACATGGACCACCAGTCTGGAAAGGTATCTTTACTGGCCACACAACTGATCTGCCATTTGGCGTGGCACCCTACCCCCTCTGGCTGGCCACACAACTGATCTGCCATTTGGCGCTGCACCCTACCCCCTCTGGCAAACTGTGGGGGTGCCATTCCCAAAGTTGCTAAGATGTTGGCTTAATCTACAGTAGAAGGCACCCCCCCCTGGATGACGTCACAGCTGCTTCTGAGGGGCATGACTGCCCAACATTCTTCTTCTTCTTTCTCATAGGTGCTAGAGAGCTTGCATAGAGCTTTTCCTTAGGCCAATTATAATGGCATGATGTAACCATTGTCCTATCTGAACTCTGTAACCTATCTGTATACTGTCCACTATCTGTGAGCTTGTAAGGATAATAAAAGCCCAGTCCTCCTGGGGGCAGGGCAGAATTCATTGGGAACCCAATTCGGTGTTATTCTGCCTCTTCTACTAGTCGCCCACCAGGAGCACTGCTGGCAGACATCCCTGTGTGTGTGTGGCTGACTTCTTTAACTTCTATCTCTAAGAGACTATTCGCTATCCTAAATATCTGGTGATCATCACAAAGCCCATCAGCCTTCTCATTCCGTGACTCCAACAGCAGACACCCACTTGGAGGCAGTGTCCAAGCTTGTCTGCCCCACCTCCTTCAGGAGGTGCCTTGGGGTGGGCAGCCGCTGGAGGGGAGAGGGAGACGAAACACAGATCACCTGTGCAGCCAGTAAACAAACCATACTGAACCACCGAACCAGCAGTTCATACCCATCTCTACTGTGATCCCATCCCCCATACAGCAGTTTCATTTAGCAGGACCTCAGATCTGTTCCTACCTGAGGACAAAGTCTGAAGCCTAAAGACTGAGCTGGATAAACGTACATTGTATAAAAACAGTTTCAGAACAAGGAAACTAACCTGACATGCACTCCAGCCCTAGGCATGTCATCTCAAAACTGATACCCACAGAGTTAAATGGGTCTTAATACCAACAGCTATAAATCTGCAGTCTGAAGTGAGCATACCTGGCAATACTACAGTATTTCCAATCTCACTTGAGAAACCGCCTTCAAACCAAACCTCAGCTCCTCAGCACTATCAGGATAGGATTTTGCTGGCTACTAAAGAGTCAGGGCTTACGCAGGTGCTGGGACTGATCTATAAACAAAGCTTGAGGCCCAGTTGTAGACCCCCCCCACCCTGAAAAAGCTAGTCTGATAAGTACACAAGAGAGCAGCATTTCAATGGGGTGACTTCCTTCCCCAGGGAAATCAATCTGACTTAAAAACAGCATTATTCAGTCTGACTTTTGGGATATTTTTTTAAAATCTGTTTTAAAATTATGTTTGAATAATTTTTGTTGTACAGTATACCAGTTTGGTGGCCCTCGGGGCAGAAAGGTTACTAATAAATACTTTTAATACAAAACAACAATAAACTTGCCTAGATTTCAATGGCTCACTAATTGTCCTCAATATCAGTCTGGAAGATTAGGACTTTTGATGAAAAGGTAATTCTTGCATCACTTGGCCTTCTGAAAAAGCACCTCAAGGAGACACACCTTCCTTGTTTTATTCAAATATTTCCCAAGAAAGCACTGATGAGATGGACAAGGCCCTCAAAGTTTGTTTAATACAATTAACTTTTTCAAAAATCTCCCAGCGATGGTGCAATTATTTGCCTTTGGCTCACAAAGAGAAAGAAGTAAACAAAACATAACTGGTCATCACACAGTGGCAGTTAGCTTTACAATGAATCAGTGTTTAGCAGTTACATACACAACCTGTGTTTCACAAACTCTTTTGACTCTTTGAAAAGATGAGACAACCACCATAGGAAGTTAGGAACATGGCGTAGTATAATTTAAAATAACAAAAACACAACCTCAAAGCAAGCAAACCCACGTGCTCACTGTCACAACTGACCTAAAGAACACTTAGTTTACCAAGAACATTAGTTTACCAAGAACAGCAAACTAGTGGCATTGTTCTGCCATGGTTCTAGTTCCTATCCTTCCCAAAAGAAGGACCATCTGCTGAAGAAAAAAAGTCTTCAAGGCAATAATCTCAAATACCTGTGCAAAATCCCTGTTTTCCTCGCAACCCTCCCTCCAATTCTTAACTATTCTGAAACTGAGGAAGTTCTAATAGATCTGCTAAGAGCTGTCGGCCAGGATAAATCTGTTTTAAACAAAGAGTCCATGCTATAAACCAGGGTTGGCCAACATGGACCCCAACAATATCTAGGGGGAGGATGGGAACTGAAATTCAAGGACATCTGGAAGGCCCCAGATTTTTCTCCCCAGCATAAACCTTCATCTCTCATTGTCAAGTTAGTTGCAAGCTAGCTAGTCTTTCATTTTCATGAAAGATCACTGGGCCACAAAAAGGGGAAAGACCGATAGTGAAGAGGGCGTTTATCTTTAAACTACACACCTAAAATAAAAGTTTGATAATATACAGATAGAGTCTGAATTGTCTATATAACGGCATTACATTCTTGGCACTATTATCTACCCCTCAGCACCTGTGCATCTTTCTTGCCAAGAGACACATAGACATGAACTGTGGAACATTAAACTCCCTTGCTGTGTTTATAGTCTGGCATTAAACTGTCAGAGTTTCTCCACCCACTGCTGAATTTGCTATTGGCTTTCCAATAATTCTTCTAGGGCTCCTTCAGGTTTTGTTTTTGTTTTGGGTCACCAGGTCGCTCTACCCACACCAGTCCATCATCATCACCTCCCTGCCTATTCGACTCGGGACCGGCGCAGGGCCAGCTTGTCACTCACTCTTCAGGGCGGCGATGAGGGACTTTCCATCTTTTATGAGCTCCTTGATGAACTTGTTGGTCTTCTCCAGCTCAGCTTCGTGAGACTTCAGCCGCTCTCGGAACTGAGGGCTGTCCAAACAGCAGTCGCTAAACTCCAACGCAGGTAGTCCCATGACTCCCAGGACCTCTCCAAAACGGAATCACCTTGTGCGAAAAAAAACAAATCCGCTCGTGGGGAGAGGGGGGAGGCAGAACTCTCACGAACACAAAGTCTCTCGCGAAACGCCTGAGGGGGGGGGGAATATGAAGAATCAACCAGCAACCATTAAGGTTAAAGATAGTCGATGCACCCGCTGCGAAGCAGCCGGTATTAACGCTGCTCAGATTCTCTTCTGGGAAGGAGTCCCCTCAGAGAAGGAAGTGCGATAATTAAAAATAGAAAATACAGGCAGGTTTCAGGAGAGGCAAGATTTGCACCGGGAGCAGGCTCAGATGCCAAGGAGAAAGGACACGAGCCGCCCGAAGGAGGAGCCGGAGGGGGCCAGCGTCGCGGTAGCGGGGGGCAATGCCGCTGCTGCCTGAGGGCTGCTCATGGCGAAGGCTCCCAAACACGCTGCAAACTCGGGAGGTGGCGAGGACGCCGCTCTCGCTCTGGCTGTTGCCTCCAAGCCGGGCCGGTGCAGCGGCTGCTTGCTGCGACTGACGCCTGCGGAACCCCCGGGAAGGGCGGCCGGCAAGGTCTCCCGCGCGGCCTCACAGATGGGGGGGGGGGCGGCGGCGGCTCCTCTTCAGTTCAGCGCAGCCCTCTCCGACGGCATCCGGGATCAAGCGGGACTCTCCACTTCCCCATTGGAACGCGGGATATCATTTTCCGACGGCGCTGCCCATTGGAACGTCGCGAGGAGCAGAAGGGCGATATGTATATTTTTTTTAACGCCGCCGGACGCAACCCCGCCTCTTGCGCCAGCCGGAGCCAATCAGCGCAGCGCCTGCTGGCGGGGCAAGAGGGAGGGAAACGTGGGGGGGGGAGAGAGAGAAAAGATGTCCTGCGATGACAGACCGGGGGATGAAGGGAGGAGTGGCCAGAGTTATGTCAAACCGCGTGGAGCTGTCGCGCGCCCCCCTCCCTTCCCCTCCCGCCTTCTTAAAGGCACAGCCGCAGGAGAGGTGGAGGGGGGAGGCGGCGTGGGGAAGGGACGAGGGGTTGCTCAAGGGCGTTGCTCGTCAACCTGTTGCTGCACAGGCGGTGGGAGGGAGAAGGCGCCACCCGTTTCCCCCCCCCGCGCGCGCCCAGGGGATTAACGGGCCCGGGAGGCACGTCTGGATGCGGAGGAAGAGAGGCGCGGCCGTTTCTAGCGCTTTCCGTACAAGCCGTTTAAAAAGCAACGTGTGACATTGATTCCCGGGCCAGCCCCAAGACGTGTTAGGCAGAAAGAGGCAGCCCGCCACGTCAGGTGGCCTTGCTGGGGGTGGGGAAGGTTGGGTTAATCACGAATAGGCAAGCAATTTTAATTAACTCGCTGGTCGGTTAATTATGATTGTATGTTTTGGTATCAAAGATTGGGGGAAGCGCTGTGGGGATTTTCCGCCCTGATCTGGAGTTCTGTCCGCAGGGGTTTTGAGACCAGGGGCGCCAAAAATGCGCTTCTCTGGCAACAAATGGCACGCAGGCGGGCCCGGCCCTGCTTCTTCTTTTGGCCCCGGAGGGCAAAATTAGGAGCTTAGACAACAACGAGCTTGCCTTTCTCCCCCTCCCCTCCCTCTTTCATTAGGGCTACTATCATTTTGCAAATATAGTGCCAATACTAGATGGTATCGCCCAGTTCTGGTTTTCGTTTTTACTTCCGCAACACGTGGATAGTCTCTTGTTTTTATCTCTTTTTTTTCCCGGGCTTGCCTCTTTGGGCCTCAAGCAGTTAGGGATCGCGGGTACAGGTCAGGGTTACTGCACAGGAGGAGGAGGAGGATAGTCAATCCGTAGCCTCAGGCGGACTCCCCGACATACAGTCTATCCGTCTGGCAGCGTTGGAGGAAAGGCACGAGCATAGCTTTGGAAAATCGGGAAGATCCAGGGAGCTCCGTTTACTACAGAACCCACGCCTAACGTCTGGTTTGATCCTGACTAGTGAAAGGTCCCAAGGGTATTAGAGGATTTCGCCTCCTTTGGATAGAAGAGCACTGGAGAATTGTTATGGGCTTGGAATATTCGCTTTATTTATAGTCATACAAGCAGAAAATAGATGGAGGCGCTGCTACAGCAGGCGAACGCTGGTACTGCAGGGCGAAAATTTGCAGAGAACAACCGGCGCACCTTCGTCAAGGCTGCATATCCAGCATAACCCCTCTTCCCATTCCATGTACAAAAACTGACTGGACTGGCAGATGACTCTCCCATGCTATGCTCATGATGTGATCATATACGTTCAGAATTCCCTTTACATAGCCAGGGACTCATCTACTATGAAGTTACTGAAGCTTAAGCTTCAGGCACTCTAATCCCAAAGGGACCCCAGACGCTACTTAAACCCACATTTTTAAAGAATTATGGGATTCTGTCAAGGAACCATCCCTCTGAAGAAAACAGTGGTCACCCAGATCTCATTGCTGGTTGTGAATGGACCCACATAACAGTTCAAGCTTTAGGGCGGCAAAAATGTCGGTCAGCCACTGTATAAGCCATTCAGCTATACTGCTCTTGCTCACCCTGGGGTGGGAGAGCCCAATGGGGAACAGATGTGATGAAGGCTGTGGAAGTTGACTGGAACCATGTCACTCCCAACAGCCTAGTCTCCCCGACTTGGCTGTGCTCCAAGGAGCCTAAAGCAAAACAAAAAGAATTCCCCAAGGCTTGGCACCTAGGGCCAGCACACAAACCCTGTGTGAGGTACTTGGTCACCACTCCCACACAAACACTGATGATCCCAGTGGTTGAGGCAAGGTGCTTGAAAAGTCTTTTGTACCTTATTAAAGGGTGGGGGGAGAGAGAGAGAATTAAAAAGAACAAGGCTGGAGCAAATACAGAAACATACTTAAAGGCATTCAAGAGATATGCATCCAAAAATAATAAAAGCTTGTTTAGCCTATCTGACAAGTTGACTGGAACCATGTCACTCCCAACAGCCTAGTCTCCCCGACTTGGCTGTGCTCCAAGGAGCCTAAAGCAAAACAAAAAGAATTCCCCAAGGCTTGGCACCTAGGGCCAGCACACAAACCCTGTGTGAGGTACTTGGTCACCACTCCCACACAAACACTGATGATCCCAGTTGTTGAGGCAAGGTGCTTGAAAAGTCTTTTGTACCTTATTAAAGGGGGGGGGGAGAGAATTAAAAAGAACAAGGCTGGAGCAAATACAGAAACATACTTAAAGGCATTCAAGAGATATGCATCCAAAAATAATAAAAGCTTGTTTAGCCTATCTGACACACCTTGCATTAATACCCTATCTAATACTTACACGTTAGCTGAGAAATAACAGCTCAGAAATATGCACAGTGTGCACCCTTCCTGGCACAGCATCATAGAACAACAAATGGACCCCGTCTCCTTCTTCAAGTCTGACTAAGCCTCATCACGGCAGATTAGCATAGCGCTTTCTTGTCAAAATATCTTCCTGTCCTGCTCCCTTTCCCACCACTAAAATCTGCATAACTCTTCTGGAAGGAGATGGATTGGCTTCTTTTACTTTACTTTATTTGGATTTATACCCCGCCCCTCTAGACAAGGTCTACTCGGGGCGGCTTACCAAAAAATGATAAAATACAATAAAAATATAATTACTAAAAGCTTAATAATACAACCAACTAACTAATGGATATATACATTATCAAGATGGGAAACTAAAGAACAAGACAGTTAATTGACTGGAGGGAAGGCCTGCCTTAAGAGCCACGTTTTTAAATGGCTTTTAAAAACACCCAACGAGGGAGCCAGACGGATTTCCGTTGGTAGAGCATTCCACAGCCAAGGGGCCATTACTGAGAAGGCCCGGTTTCTTGTTCTTTCCGGGCCTCTCTCGGCGTAAGGCCCCTCAGCCGTCCCTGCTGGCTTTGTCGAGTGATTCGAGTAGACCTGGGTAGGAGAAGACGATCTGCCAGGTATCGAGGTCCCAAACTGTTTAGGGCTTTATACGTCATCATCAGAACTTTGAAATCAATGCGGAAACGAACGAGCAACCAATGCAGAGCAGCCAGGGTGGGGGAGATATGCTGATATTTCCTCACCCCACTAAGGAGCCTGGCTGCTGCATTTTGCACCATTTGAAGTTTCCGCATCAATCCCAAGGCAGCCCCACGTAGAGTGTATTACAGTGGTCTAATCTCGAGATTATGAGCACGTGGACAAGAGTAGTGAGGGCCCCCCCTCAAGATATGGTCGCAGCTGGGCAATCCGCCACAGGTGAAAATAGGCAGAACGGACCACGGACGCTACCTGGGTTTCCATGGTAAGCGCCGGGTCCAGGTGTATCCCCAAGCTCACTCTTTGCAGTGAGAGTTGACCCCCCAAAAGAGAGGGAGTCACCCACGCCACTGATGGAAGGACCACCCACCCTCAAGACCTCCGTCTTGTCCGGGTTCAAGTCAAGAGTCACTGCTAAAGTGCTAGATTCCTTTTGGGGCTGCTTTGATAAGTATGGAAGCACCAGTTCCTCTCTCAATCCTTTCTTTGAAGTGTTCAGTAACAGGAGGTAAGTTGAAGGTGTCAGGTGTCCTTTTTGCACACTGACCTCTGCCTGTTCGTTCAGCTTCCTATATACTCACAGCAAAAGCACCAAAGTGTCCAGTAATTGAATTCCATATTCTCAGGGTTTCGTGGGACTGTCTTCTTTTTGTGAGTACTGCAAACACAATGAACCTTACAAATATGTGAATTCTGTTCCCTTTTCTTTAAAATAACAGAACAATAGCAGTAGTAGAAGCACCACCCAAACTGGGTGCTACAAAATACACACCCTTAAGTTCCATTCACCAAGACTAAGCAAGAACATGAGTTCCTTGTAGAGAAACATGTTCTGCCAATGCCTCTCTGAAGCAAAATGGGTCAGAAACAAAGTCCCAGGTATTTGTATGGCCCAGGGCAGAAACCAACATGATAAGGGCCTGGAGGAAGGCAGGGGGAAGACGTGGGTGGACGCGAAGGAGAAGGAACTGATTCACTGGGTGGTCGCCATGTTGGT